GTGCCTGTGAGAAACAGGGAGTCACTGCCGGAAGGGAACTGCACCGTCACGTCCTCCGTCTCCCCATCTCTCATCCCCAGCTGACCAGCACGCTGGCACAGACAAAGACACCAGCCAGTGCCCAGCTGCAGCCCAGCCCAGCGCTCTCATCCCATCAGCAGAACATCCCATCAGGCCGTTCTACTGGAGAACCAGCTCACGTGCCTTCCTCTTTCCCCAAGAGCCCAGCCCCAGGCCAAGCGCAGTCCTTCCCTCTGGCAGAGCAGGGGATGAGCAGGGAATGGCACAACTGTCCCCACGTCCCTGTCCCCAGCACCGATCGGGGCTAAGACAGCCTCCTCCTCCACCTGCCTCCTTACCTCTTCTGGCTGTTCATAGACAGCACCACGCTGGTGTTCTCCAGCTTCACCTCCACCCTCCTGGGGATGAGCTGCAGTGTGTCCCTGCTCAGCAGAGACGGGGACTTCAGCGGTTCCCCTGCGCCTGGACAGGGACACACAGAGTCACGGGAAGGCTCCTGCCCAGACCCCCAAGCCCTGCAGTGGGCGGCAGTGACAGCACAGCCAAACCCCTCTGGCTTCAGTGCAAGTAGAGGGGCTGCCAGTCCCTGCCCTGCCCAGAGCTTGTCCCTGTCCCCGTCCCTCACCTGCGCTGGGCTGCTCCCCTGCACTGCTGCGCTGCGCCCCGGCAGTGACACGATGCAGCAACGGGCTGCAGAAGAGCCCTTCGTGCAGCTCTGCCTGCAGAGTCCGGACGCGCAGCCTGATGCCCACCAGCCGCCGCTTGCTGCTGATCTCCAGCGAGAGGGAGAGCGCCAGGGCCAACTCCGCCAGGCAGGTGTCATCCTGTATGGGGACACGGGCAAGGAGTGCACAGGGAGTCACACAACTCCCTGCCGGTGGACGCTGCAGGTGAAGAGCTGGGCACAGCATGGAGCCCAGAGCCTTGCAGGAGCCTTGCAGCATCGCCCAGCCTTGGGGACGTGCTGGGACAGGTCCTTGGGGTGTACCAGTGCCAGGGCCCAAAGTACTGAATTTCTCCCTTCCCCAGCACTCACCAGCTGGCTGCTCCGGAGCACTTTGCTGTTCACCTTTGTCAGGCTCACCTCGCAGGTCAGGCTGGGGAGAGGAGAGAACAGACAGAGGCTGCAGGCCCTGCTGCCTCCAAACCAAGCCCCTGCCCTCTCTTTTCTGTGGGACACAGGGACCCCAAGTCCCTGCTCCAAGTCCTCCCAAAAGCAGAGCACACCCTAACTCCGTGCACAGCGCAGCACCCCATAATTGGAGAACACACAACTCGAGTTTCCAGTGAAGGGAAAAGGGACTAGGCCAGCCTCAGAGAAGGTTAATGTGCCACATCACAGGTGACAAGGGATGCTACTGAGGGGGACAGAGAGAGGTGAGACAGCAGGATGGGGTCAGAGAAGCCTCCCTGCCCCCTGGGACCTGGGGCCAGGCTGGAGAAGCAGAACAGGGCATGAACACAGCGTTACCTCTTCCCGTTGCCATCCAAGAGAAGACGGGTCTTGCTGGCCTGGATATGCCAGAGAGACTCCGAGGTGGCCACATGCAGAACCATGATGTTGATGGAGTCCATGTGGATGGAAAAGAGCTGGAGGGAAGGTGCAACCGTGAGGGATGTCTGACAACAGTGCAGCCCACAACAGCCAAGTGCCTCACACCAAGCTAGTGCCTCACCTGGCTAAGAAGCCTCAGCAGAGAGGGTTTAAGTGTCAGGTCTGCCCTGCTTTCATTTCTATCAGCTTCTCTGGGAGCCTCCGGGATGGACGGTTGGAACACATGGCCCTTCTGGAGATCTGTGCGGATTCGCACCTCTCCAAAACACAGCTCAAAGTAGCGCCTGCGGAAGAACAGCACGGGCAACTCTTACAAGAGCTTGCACATGGCACACCCTGCCCCATCGCCAGGGGTGCCCCCCACCCTGGGGACGTGCAGGACCAGCACGAGGGCATCCACAAGACACTGCCACCTCAAAGAAAGAGTGATTCACTCCCACACAGAGCAGACCATGGGGAAACTGGGACTGCAGAAAGGTATAACGGCAACAGAACCACAGTCAGTGGGTCCAGGGATGAGCCAGACCCCTGAAGAGAGCAGGGAGGAAGCTGGGGTGGGCGTACGTACGGCAGCTCCCGGCTCAGTTTACTGGAGATCCAGATGTTGTCGATCTCCTGCAAGGACACACAGGTAGGTCAGAGAACAAACAATCTGGCTCTGTCTTGTGATGCTCATTCCGATGTTCCCACTCTGCTCCCATTGCCTGTTATCATGCAGGGAGCAGCCAAAAACCCCAAGTTTGGCCATGGGAGGAAGGGCCTGGCACCAGCTATGGGGCTGCGTGACAGGAGCTTGGCTGCAGGGACTTGCTGCCAGCCTGGCGGTGACCGCAGCCACCGTGGCTACCCTCATCTGCCAGCGACCGCCCCTCACCCGGGTACCCACCACAGTCTGCTGCTCCTGCTGGAACTTGAGGCTGATGTTCTGGGCCCAGAAGAAGCCAAAGGAGCCGATCTTCAGCTCCGCACGAAGCTTCTGCCTAGTCAAACACTATGCAACCTAGAGTTACCCATCAAACTTCAAGCATTTAACTGTGGAGTTAAAAGGAACTGCAGATTCGGTGCACAGCCGACAGTAAGATGCAGGACTTGCAGAATATGATTCCTCTGAGATCACTACCGTTCTCCAGACGCACATCTCTCTTTCCCCTTAATTACTACAGAGGGAATCTATGGTAATATAGTTCTTCATCTGGGAACCTTGGATAGATGGGAGAATGCTGGGTCCCTGTTCTCTCTAGCTTATCTTCCAGTCTGCTTATAGACGTGACCACAGATACGGCAGATTAAATACTGGCCAGTATCAGGAGCAGGAAGCTCTCAGAAGCTAAGTGCTACCAGACTTCCTAGTACTTGAATTAGGCATCACCTAGGAATCCTGATTGTTTAAGGGATAAGCTGTTGCTTTTCATATTGTGGTGTTTGGGTTTTGTTTTTTTTTTTTTTGTACGTACCATTGGCCTCTAAAAATGCATTCATCTTGTGATTATTCCTTCACTGACTGAAAAGCACAATGAAAGTAAAGCCTGTAATTTTTTTCACTATATTAGGCACATTCTAATAATCTTAGTCTTTCTCTCTATTAACAGCTATCTATGGAAGGCTACTTCAGTCAACAGTGAACGCCTTGAGAAACCGAAAAGCACTTACTTTGTCCCCTGAGACCAAAAGCTTCAAATCCTTACTTTTAAGTTGCTCTAGGCTTGAGACATGATTCTATTCTCCTAAATGGCAGCAGTATGCACTGCTACAATTCCACTGGGTCATTCTTTATTTAAATTCTCATTAAGAGAGGCTTGGGTAACATTACATTTGCAATACACTTCTCCAGAATCTGTATTTTGAAATCAGCTACAAAGCTACAGGAGCTCTTTCATTAACTCACAAATGCCAGACAGAAGACTTGGCTTGGCAGCCACATACAAGTTTTTTGGAATGTTTATAGACAAAAATCCTCTCTTTTGACCAAAACAATAAAAGGAATCATACCCTTTGTTCTGAAGATTTAAACATAATACAGCTTGAACAGAAAGTTAATGGTAAGTCAATGTCATCTGATACAGCTTCATACAACATTCTGATCCCATCGACCTTTTGAGGATAACATGGCACCATTATTCCTTCAAATTTTGGACATTTCAAGAGAGAAAACCACAATGTTGGTTTGGGTTTTCCCAAATGTTATCTTTCGTGCATTGCAATGCAAAGGAAGGGACAAGGACAAAATGCTTTTAGAAATGGTGGTAATATATGTATTCTTAAAAAATACAGCTAGGTAACCACTTATAGATGCGCTTTCCGCAGACTTTGAGCTAACGATTGAGCAACCTAAGGTCCTCTGGCCCCAAACCTGCAAGCTAGTTTCCACCAAATGATTTATGACTCGATTGCATAGGTCAGCGGTTTGTAAGGCTGTAAATGAAATCTATTATACAGAAAAGAAAGAACAACATGTGAATTTTCATTTTGATTACATAAGAGATCTTGTCATGTCCCTACGTTGTTACATTTTCCAAAATGAATCAGCATTAAAGAAGGGACATGAAGAACCTCGGCTGACCTGATACAGTACACTTTTTTGCTAAAATTTTTTTAGCACATAAGTGTTCTTGGAAACTCTATCACAGAGACTATGGGACCATATATAAACTGGTAAACCTGATCGCAGTGCTGTTGGTTAACTGATACCATCGTGTCTTTTAAGCACCACAGTACACAGTTCCACAGAGAACACAGGGAATTCCTGAGAAAAAAGCCTTATCCAAGTTCCCATCACTTGCCTTGGACCCCGCTGGGCGCGAGTTGGGGTACACCGTAGCAGGGGGGGACGGGACACGGACAACCGGGGCACAGCTCCCCGGGGACAATAGCCCTTTGGGGGGGTCATCGGCCAGAAGGGATGGGGACGGAGCAGGGGAGCTACAAGGGAAGGGTTGGAGAATTCGGGAATCTGCTCTAGGTCAGGTCTGAATGTTCAGCCCAGTTTTGCGTCAGGTCTGGGCGTCGGACTCAGCTTTGCGCTGGATTTGGGACACGGGGACCAGCGTTGTGCTGGATCTCAGACGTTGGGCTCTGCTTTGGGTCAGGTCTGGACACGAGGATCTGCTTTGGGTTGGATTTAGGACGTGGGGACCTGCTTTGTGTTAGACCTTGGGCGCCGGGCTCTGCTTTGGGTCAGGTTGGGACAGCAGGATCTGCTCCGCGCCAAATTCACCATGCTGGGATCTGCTTCGTGTTGAATTTGGGACAGTGGGATCTGCTCCGCATCAAATTCAGGACGTTAGGATCTGCTTTGTGTTGGATCTGGGGCTCTGAGTCCTGGTATGTGTCAAAATCACGTGGGGACAGGGGCTGTCCCCTGGGTTGAGTGGCCCTGAACACTGCAGGGCGGCGCCCAGAGGCTCGGTGGCAGTCTGTCTGTCCATCACAATTCAGCATGGTACCGCTCCGCTTTGAAGACCTCGCTGGGCTGCATGAAGATGCCCTCCATCACCTTCCAGTAGTTATTCTGGCTGGAGGCGGCCATGCCGTGCACCTCCTTCTGCCCATGGATGGGCCGCCCGTACTGCTCCCCCGTCACCGAGAGGAAGACGTCGGTGGAGGCGTGCTGGAAGCGCACCTCGCTGTCCCGTGACCAGTAGGTCCCGCTGCACACCACCGTCCAGTCGTCCAGGTAGTCACCCTCGCCGCCCTCCCCAAAAGCGCTCACCTCCTGTAGGTAAAAGGAGCTCGTTTGGGGACTGGGATGAAGAAGGGGGGTGCGCTCAGGGGTGTTGCCCAGAGGGCAAGGAGGGGCCGGGGGCAGAGGAAAGGGCTGGGTCTGGAGGACAAGGTGGAGGACCTGGTTGGGACCGGGGCTCTATTGGGACTTGGAGGGTCTGGTTGGGACTGGGGGCCTGGAGGGGCAAAGGGGAGCTGGTAGGGACTGGGGAACAAGGTGGGACTGGTAGGGACCCAGTTGGGACCAGGGAACAAAGCAGGGACAAGGGGGACCTGGTTGGGACTTGCAGGGACAGGGAGAACCCGGCAGGGACTGGGGAACAAGATGGAGCTGGTAGGGACATGGGGGACCTGGTGAGGACTCGTAGGGACAGGGAGAACCCAGGAGGGACATGGGGGCCAAGGTGGGGCTGGTAGGGACACAGGGCACCCGGTTGGGACCAGGGAACAAGGTGGCACTGGCAGGAACACGGGTGACAAGGGGGACTCAGTAAGGACTGGTAGGGACAGGGAGAACCTGGCAGAGACCTGGGGGACAAAGTGGGACTGGTAGCATCCTAGAGGACCCAGTCTGGGACTGGGGGGCGAGGCAGGGCTGGGCCACGGGGGACAAGGGGGACTTGGTTGGGACAGGGACAACCCAGTTGGGACCCAGCAAGGACAGGGTGACAAGGGGGACCCGGTTGTGCCTGAGGAAGGGGGCTGGGGCT